CGTAGGAATTTTTGAGCTTCTATAAAATGCAGCCAGAATTTAAGAAGTTATGAGAATAATGATAAATAAAAATGATAAACCTGTAAGCGGCAGCCATTTTTAGAGAAGCTTTTTAGAAATGAATACAAAATAACCTTCAAATATCGGTCACCTCCGAACAGCGGCCACTTTTTGTTTACGTTAGTGGCCGTTGTTGAGAGGTTTCATTTCTTTTACGATCGATGCTTAAAGTAATTAATTAAACAGATAATTATTTTAACTACTATCGATATACATAAAATTTTATGTGTTAGATGTTGAAATAAACGCCACGACTTTAAAGGAAACAAAAATTATCTAATTCACCCGCCGAATTCAAATATGAAACAATGACGAAAACCGTTACGGAAATTACGTCAGTGATGGCGTCACAGTCGACGACATTCAAATGTAACTGATACATTATTGCCCACGCAATTTTCGCATCGCAACCGATCGCGCTCAGTGTGAACCGATACGTTTCATAATACACAATTTTTCTTAGCGATTTCTTGGCTGTATAAGTTTTTATTTAATATATGAGTTAATATTTTAAAAATTACGAGAGAAAACCAAATTACTTGAAGATAAAAAAGTTATTTTTCCTGTTTTTTTACTGTTGAAACGAAGAGAAAGTGGGCTGGTGGGTGATTTTAGAAACATAATTACCAGAAGAAATGCGCTTCACTTTAAGAAATCTAAATAAGAGAGAGCTTTTAAAAGGAATCGGGGGGATGGTTATTCGAGTTCAGACATTAAAGATGGTCACAAAAGAGAGAATGACGGATGACGTCGCTGGCTAACCGGGCACTGGTGCAGGAAGTCCCGCTGTCAGCCAGGGTAAAGCAGTTTAATCTGGCGGCAGAGTTCGTGTTCACTCAACCGGAATTTTCCGGTCTGTATATATTAAATATGTCGGACACGTTCTTGTTTGTCGTTTCGACGTCTTTGAAAAATAAGTAGTCTCCTATTAAAACAACTTTATATATATATATATATATATATATAAATCGATTATTTTTACTGTATTTTGTAAACAAACACATCGGTTTAATCATTATTATTATTATTTTTTTTTTATTAATGACAATTTTGGTTTAAATTTCAAAATGTAAATGTTGAAATTTTAAAAAATTTGCATACTTTTACGGCATAAATTATTTATAAAATAAGACACGAAAAGAAATTAAAATTTCTATGTATTGTGCACAGTTTAAATGTTAAAAATTTTCGATCTCTATAGTTAGATACTAAATATATAGGGGAACAGTAATTACTTTTTGTAAGAGGTTTGTTGGTTTGGTTATGGAAGTGACTTGTCCTTGACATTTCTTATTTATAATTAAAATAAATAAATATTTGTATTTATTATCTTTTGAACAATTTAGCTGTTTTCAAACTGATTTAATTTCAATTTGAGTATCTTTATGGAAAATTACTATTGCAAAATGAATTAAGTGCAATAGAAGCATTATTAATGAGATCCAAAATTTATTTTGATAGCTATAACATTTATATAATTTATAGCTTAATTGTTTGTTTATAAACTTGTTAATAAAAATATATTATACTGTTTACAATGATTTCTTATATCATGTTTCGACTGAACATTTTACATGTTAACTTTTCTTTACAAAGAATTAAAAGGAACCTTATTTATTTTTAAGTTTTGAATTGGTCTAATTTTAATGGTTTTGTTTAGAAATGTCACGAATTGATAAATCTTTGCTTTTAAATTCAATTTAGTTGGATAACCTGCGCACATTAGGCCTATTTATTATAAACTCGTTTAAGTGGGTATCAAATGCACAACTTATCTAATTATTTGATTACGCAGTTTACGTGTTTAGAACTATAATAACTCAGAAATTATAAGAGAGTTTCCGTAGCAGAATACAACAAATATACCAAAATTCTATGGTTAAATTTGAGAGCATTTTAATGTTTAAAAGATTTTGGCATATAAAAAGTAATTTAACTTTATGTTTTAAAGTAGAATTATCTAAAACAAGTTTTTTTTCTTTTAAATATTAAATGTAGAATTACTAATAAAATTGAAGTTAAAATGTTAAAATAGTACTTTTACGTGCATAAATTTTCACTAGACGTGTTTATGAACAGGTTCTTTATCATGTATTGAATTAGTTCAATTTATAGAGATTATTCTCAAATTTAATTCTGTATTCTTAAATCTAAGGTTTTACGTACAATTGTTAGGCTTATTATTAATATTTAAATAAATTTGAGATTAGAAATTCAATTAAAAACATACTAAAACCTTAGTTTCTATAATTTATATTAACCCTGCCATCTAACCATATCTTAAATTTAGAATTTTAATTTCGATAGAAAAGCCTAAAGGGATAATAATCGAAAGAATATTTAAGTCGGGTCAAAAATTTAAAATAATTTAAATACTGTAAACGTCATAGGAAGCGGAGTGTGCGTTACAAATTCACGCTTCACCATTCGCTAAGAATTCGGATCGAACATTCCATCAAGCAACTAAAGTGAACCAATGAGACGTTGCCGTCACATTGTTGGCATTCGTTGGTATCCAGTCGGGTATCTCCGTCGAGCGTATAAATTACCGATTTTCTGCAGAACAATCCCCGGAAGACAAAAATCGAATGCGAGTCTGAGAAAAAGGACGAATTGCATGCAACTCCGCGAAGCTCTCTTCTTCTCTTAGCCTCTTACACTCCACCCTCTCTCGATCGATGCTCTATGTATCACATACAAAACACTCTCTTTTATGTTTTACGTCATACATTTACAGAAAAAAATCTTTATTTTAATAATAAAAACTGTATTTTCATTTTTTCCCCTCCTTTACGTACAATAAATAATTTCCTTTCATTTCTATTAATAACCGTGCATTAAGAGCTTCGTCCAGAGCAAACAATTTAGTTACGAGACGAGAAAACTTCAATTTTCTGATATTATACCTAAGCTATGAAGTTTAATTGCATCGGTAATAAACGTAATATCATATTTTCAATTTATAGTTGGAAGTAAGAGGATATTTAATGAGAAATCTTAGTCGGAAATTCGCTATTCGCAAATTGCTTATAACTTTATATATTAAGTAATTATAAATGTAAAACATAATAGCTAGAAGCCGTGCTAATAATTCAAAATATGGATCGAATCTGTAGAATGTTAATGTAAACTTAATTGGAATAATAAAATCATTGAATTGTAAAGGTCTATAAATTTGTAAATAAACTAGGACAGAAACATATTGAACTTATGATTGATACAGATTTAAAATGCTTGTTATAAACAATTATGTAAGTTGATTATGCAAATATTTTCTGAAGAATAAATGCAGTATGTAAATAAAGGTTTCGAACAAAAACAGAAGTTTTGAATTAATTATCGATACTTTCAGTGTAATAAATGTTTGTAAACATTTGTAAGAAACGAAATTTAAAATAGTGCAGGGTTTAATGAGTCACATAAAAATATTTTCCAAATAAAAATAGTTTTGTGAATTATTAAAGGAAATGTATAACAAACACTTTTCGATGGAAAAAACTGAATATTTTTAGCAACTTTCCTTTAACAACACCTTTCGTTTATCTACTGCATGCGCTGCCACACGTGTTTTCTTTCACTTTAATTAATACACCTATCGTAAAATATTTAAAATTTATGTTCTGTAAAAATATCTGTTTATAAATAATCGAGACGAATGATACTTTCAAATCCAAATAAATAAACAAAACTACTCCTAGCACCTCAAAAATTATATTCGTTCTGATAAAAATGCAAATTCGAATACAAATTGACTAATATTAACGCAATAAACACCTGTCTATTAATCTTATAAATAGATCTAAACAATCGTAATTATTATTGCATCATTCGTTACATCATTGTAGGATGTACAGTACAGTACTCTATTTTTATCTTAGTGTACTAAAAATATAATTTATTATTGAATACGAATATATAATAAGTAATGGTATATTATGAATATAATNTGTACAAATTTACATTCTGCAAAGTATAAATAATTTCAAAGTAAATAGAATTTAATTATTTTGAATTTTCTTCGAATTTTAAGGCGATAGAATAAACGCATATATTTTCATTTATATACTATGGAAATGGTTATATTGATATTACTCGCAGCCAACAGCAATCTTTCGCTTCAGATAAAGGTTTCAATAACGAAATTAAGGTTACCTTTTCTTTTTTTATAAAAAAAACGAAAATAAATATTATATATATACTGTGATCTATTAAAAGGTATAAAATAAAATCTGAAAGAATATCTAAAGACGGAATATTTTTACGAACAACTAAGCGAGTAACCGGATTAGGGAGCAACAAAGAAAAGGGCAGACTTTTGACAGGTTCTAACTTAGAAAGTAATCTTCTCAGTCTGTTTGGTGATTTCTGACAATAAGTTATAACGAGTACGAAACTAAATCCTATACCGAGATCCAGGAGACTTTTTTCTTGTTTTCTTCTAAAGATTATTATTGTCCCTGACACCATAACTGCGATCTTTTTGACGTCTTCCACAAAAAAGCTGCACTCTTTCAGATAGGATAAACTCTATAGAAGCTCATAGAATAGCTTTTGTTTTGTTTTATTTTATTTTTTAAATCTGAAAGGCAAAATTGTTTCAAATAAGATTTTTTGAAATCTGTAGAAATTTCTTCAATCAATAGTACTTTTAAAGCATTCGTGTAAAAATAAAATAAAATAAAATAAGGATTAAATTACGTCCCCATTTTTACGTAAATAATAATAAATAAAGTTTATTGCCAGTGGAATAAATTATATTAATAATTTTTAGCGAATGTTTTCGAAGCAGCAATAATAATAATAATATAAAAATGAAAAGAATTTATAAATAATTCGCGAAAAGACGTGATAATTTTTAATGCTACTCGATTTTGATAAGAAAATGGTATATATATATAAATATATATATTTTAATGTTTGATAACCGAATTACAACTTACCGTCATCGGAATCGTAAAGATAAAAGATAGATTTCCAGTTGTAATATTTAATGACGTCCAAAATTGCTCGGAGGTAGTTGGGTTTCATGTTCAGACCGTAATACATCGGCTTGTGTGCTCCCGTTTGAGGAAATGCAGGACTTGCAAATGGCATCTGGAACATGTTGGAGTAAGCTGCGATAATATCGTAGGACGGTTGACTCGTCGGTGCCACGAGGGTGAAGATGCCACGACTCATCTGTAGACATACTGCCAAAGAGATAATTGCAAAGACACGTGAATACCACACGATGATTTACTACTACTTTCAAATCATTTATTTGTTTTTACTACATTAACGAATTTCCAACAAACTTGATAATTTCAACATCTTTCAACAATGTCCCTTTGGATAAAATTTAAATTCAGTAACCAAGACTTAATTGTCTTGTCAAATATTTTAGAATCTTTTTAAATTATCTGAGGAAAAATTTCTGATATATTTTAATATTTATTCTTAAATTTAATCTTTAATTTTTTTTTCTTTCGGGTTTTAAAAATTTTGAAATCTCGATTCTTCGCGTGTTACGGACAATGGATTGAATCTCGATCGAGTTGCCAGCAATCCATCACGCTTAAGAAAATTGCTACAGGGCAAAATTTAAACATAATGTCTACATTTTAGTCACGACAAAAAGTATTATTTTATCGCGCTTATTTTATCCCTTTTAGGCACAACCCATATTATAGAATGCATTTATAAAAAGTTTTAAAAGGCGCGTGTATAATACAACTTTAAAGATAACAATGGCCCAACGATAAGAAGCAGTTAGCGAATATTCGCAATAATTAAATATATCTAAAATATTTATACAGGATTATATTATATTATATTATATTAATGCAGGATACACGTTTCTATTATAAACTGATACTATTAAAATTAGCAGCAAAAACTTCTACAATTTTATGTTCAATCATTAACGAGTAGAACAATGCAAATTTGTTGTAACATATTCAATGTATGGCCAGATAACAGTTATTATCCGAATTTAATTGATATTATTTTTTATTTCAGCTTATTTTTCTATAAATTGATAGTTTCTATAAGTCAAATGCGTTTTTTTCCTATCTTTTTTTTGAAACACACATTTTAGGAATCTTTCAAAAATACTTTAACTTCCATTTATTAAATTGGAAAGACGAGTTTCTCCTATTAAATTTTAGGAGAAACTACAATACTTAAGGAGAATTCTTAGTTATTTTTTGATTTTTTTCTAACCGACTTTCAGTAACTATAGACTGGATTCTTTTTTTAGTTTTTTTCTAATAAAACTTCTTAATTCGAGATGATCCTAAAATAAAGCGCATCAGATAAATTGTTCTTAAGTACATATATAAAACAATACCTTTCAATTATAATTTATTTATAAAATGTACCGAGAAAAAGATGTAAGATATGGTCAACGTAACATATGGATTTTAGATCCCACAAGGATTCTGTAAACCTTTTACAATATTGTTAATTTATATTTATACACAGGAATGAAAGTAGTTATACAATATTGTGAATCTAAAAAATACAGTTGTTCGGTGTAGAGTCCAATTATTATTATTATTATTTTGTATTCCTTATTTATGATTTACGCATAAGAATTAATGTTTTTTCCTTCTGTATTTTTTCCCTCCTGGGGTTTTTCTATAATAGAAACTGTATACCTACTTTTGCATCCTCCAGTGCTTATCATTACGAACATTCCATGTAATATTTGGTTGCATTTATAAGAAATTCAAAGTATAGAGACAAATATAGATACTAAACTCAATTTGAAATTTATAACAGAAATTTCTATTGGTCAGTTTGTTGGCTTGAAGCAACCAATAGAACCAATGGTTCCATTGGTTGCTTCAAGACAACAAATAGAAATAATATCCGTCCATGTTCAAATTTTATAAATAATGATATTAAGTTGAAAATATTCAAATTCTATACTTAAGAAATCAAATTACTGTTTTTATTAATTCCTTTAGTTATTAAGAGTGGCGAATTTTAAAATTAATGACTTTTCAATGTCTAATTAGTAGGTCGTACATAATGAAATCATGCATATAAATTTCAATTTATTTTTATTTATATTAAATTTTTATAATCTCTCTTAAATAACGTTTCGCTAGTTTCATGTTTACAAAAGTAACAAATATTTATTTATAAATTATTATTTATAATTATCATTATTTAATTAATTCAACAAAGTAGATATTAATGAATTAATATATAGATTTCGCTCTTAACTCCATGTTATTCATAAATTTATTTCTTAACGCAAAAGAAAAATAATATAAATTATGATAAATTTATTTTATTTTAAAGTTATTTTTGCGTAATAATTTAAATTTTTAAAAATTAGTTTGCTATATACAAACCTACACATTCAAGTATTTCAGGGGAGAAAATATAAAAGAGGAATTACAACTTTATATTAATACAATAAGTAGAAAAGACACTTTTAATATACAAGTCTAGTATTTAACGACATATAAACAAATTGATTTATATTTGAATGCATCAATAATTGCATATACAATACGTTTAGGTCATATGAACAGTCCCTAGACTTTTCATCTACTAATTACGAGATAAATCTATCCGAAATTGACGCAATCATTAAATGGAAACGATAGGAACCTTATTCCAAACAATGCGGATCATAAACATAGATTAATTTATACAATTCCTTCATATAAATTCAAGTTTTATGGCTTTTATATTATAAATAAGAACAGCTTTTAAGCATTACATATTTGATTATAAAGTAAATATTACAACTATTATAATATACCAAAATTAGCAGAATTATTTTAATTCATAATCAATTGAAGTGATCTTATCTTAAAACATAAAATTCTGTGTAAAAATATTCATCTACAAAAGTATAGAAAATAATTTGTAAACGTTTTTATTTACAAGACTCAGAAAGATAGAGAATTTATCTTTTTTATTGGCGTTGCTCAGCGCATTTTGTGATTAATTTAGTCAATGATATAACACAAAATAAAGGCATTTAAAAAAATTATCATAATTAATAAGATTTGTCTTATTTATCAATAGCATAATTATATTTAATCTTCTTTATTGAATCACATTACTAATCTTATGTTTAGCTTTGTTCATCTAGAAACTGAAATTACTTTGATATTTTTATAAAATAGTCAAGTTGATGAAAAGATTTTAAACATATTAACATTATATTTATTATCTAAACTCTTATATCGTTTTAATTTAAACACTAAATCATAAGGAATATGGCTGCATTCCTTCATTGTTGTCTGTAGTAAATACAAGAAATTTATGAATACATAAAATTAGACCCAAGAGTATTTTAAAAATAAAATTNAATGGGTTTTTAAAAAAAAATTCTAAATTTATTTTTAGGTTCTTTTAACGATAAAATAAAATTTAATAATTATAATTATAATATAATTAAATTAATGCAGAGTATTCCGTTTAGTAGAACGTAAATATTTATTTATAATTTTTTAAATTGAAATTAAATGCCAAAAATTGATAATATTTGGAAAGATTATCGTAAGAAATGTGAATGTATCTTATTAAAATTAAATTTTTTCTATAATATTTGTATACTACTATTAAAATTTAATTAAATATTACATATTTTAACAACTAGTTCTATAAAATAATAAGCTTACAAGTAACGATGTATTTAAGTTATTTTAATGCACAACGATAGGATTTAGTCGTAGTTTTTATTAATATTTTAATGTTCGTACTTTTAAAAATATATAAATTTTAACAATATTTTTGATTAAGTATTTCAACGATAACTTAATTAAAGAAATTAATAATAAGTACATCGATCTGTTTATTATTTTTAGCTAAATTTAGTTTCATTTAGACGTCCTCCATCTTTGATTTATTGCTATACATTATGGATTATTTATCATTTATCTTATTTTCATTGCTGCGAGCTCTCTTCATTACTTCACTTTGTTTTTTCTTTATTATTTGCTTTACTTATAACTTTTTTTTTTACTTTATTTGTCCATTATTTTATATCTGTTTACTGAAATTAATCTTCGAATCCTCTTAAGAAAGTCTATCTATAACCCTCTTCAATTTTGTCTTCTCTAAACGAATTTATCTTCGCATTTTCATCAAATAAAATTTATATATAAAATTTATATAGGAACTGTTTATATTATAGAATAATTAAGATTATTATAATAAATTAAAATATTTTATATTATCTAAAACTTATTAAAATATATCTTTATTATAATTAAAGTAAATATGATTTTCTGAAAATATTTTCTTTCATTAAATTGAATATTATTTCAAAAAAATATCTTGTAAAATATATAAAACATACATAAAAATCCATCCAGCTTATAGGCAAATAATAAACATCAAAATTGCTAACACAAAATTTGTAATCTTCTTTCAAAATTTCTCTTTGTTATTATATAGGAATATATAAAGATTTATAAAATAAATAAATCCATACCAAATACAAGGAAAAAAAAAACACGTTATAACTCTATTTACGATCAACTTTTCGACTTTCGATTTACTGGTGAATTCTGCAATTTTTGTAAGAATGGGGTCTTTCAATTTTCCTAGCTTGAAAAGGAAGTTGTAAAGATTATGCTAACTCAGAAAACACCTGTTGTGAACAGAGAATGACTTAAATTAGATCATTTGCATTTGAATCGAGTGTCTCTGAGGTACGAGTAATTGGGGAATCAAGGATGTCAAACGTAATAGAAATCTGTTCCATTGTCATTTGACATACATCACAACAAGATGGGTGAATGCCTTTTATAACATTTATTTACGAGAATTTGTTCAACGATTAAATGAGAAAACTTGAATTCAACTTAAGAGAAATTTAATTTTGCAATTGTATAGCCAACTTGACCTAGAAAAAATACAAAATAAAAATCATTTCGCTTTGATTTAGTATCATCCTCAGCTTTCTTATGTAAAAGATTTTTGATAAATTTCCGAATAAGGCGAGTTAAAATCGATTGTTCGTTATCGAAACTTAGTGTTGAACTATAAAAATATACTTTAACATAAAAAAAATCTTTTTCGATTTATCGCAGTTTACGCATTCCTACGACGACACGTTCACTG